AGTTAGTGCAAGGGAGAGTGTCTTCCTATGGTGACTTCATTAAAAATCTACTTCTGAACTTGGGCTGCAAAGTAGCAGGAAGAAAACCAACAGCTGAGTTAGGTTTCCATGAGCAAGAGATTCGTACCCAAGGTTCAATCATAAATTACATGACTCGAAAGCAAATTCTCTAAAATGAGCATGTTGCCCAAGATCTTAAAAATAAATAGAATAGACTGGGCACAGTGGTTCACGCCTGTAATCCCAGCACTTTGGGAGGCCAAGGTGGGCGGATCACCTTAGGTCAGGAGTTCAAGACCAGCCTGGCCAACATGGCAAAACTCCGTCCCTACTAAAAATACAAAAATTAGCTGGGCATGATGGTGGGCGCTGGTAATCCCAGCTACTTGGGAGGCTGAGGCAGGAGAATCGCTTGAACCCGGGAGACGGAGTTTGCAGTGAGCTGAGATCGCACCACTTCACTCCAGCCTGGGCAACAAGAGCGAGACTCTATCATATAAATAAATAAATGAATGAATGAATGAATGAATGAATAGAATAAAATGAGATGGCACAGTATCACCACCCTTCCCCATCAGTAATCACTCAGTGCAGGAACACCCCTCACCCCTCGGCTTTACAAGCTTCAATTACTTGTGTCCTTAGGCTATGGAGGTGGATGGCAATTTACAACCAATCAGAGAAAGAAGGAAATTAAGTAGCCAGAGTAGACTACCAAATGTGGTATGTGCCAAAAATGGAAAATGCATCTTATTAAGTGGAACAGCTCCCTCAGCACTTTTCACAGATTCCCTAGGATATCCTATGATTGATATGTTTCAATGAGCCGTCTTTATCTGTGTGTTGGTTCCAACTAAATATTAATTCATAGATGCTCTAAAGACCCCACATTCTTAATTTCAGATTATTTTATGAAGATATCACTTTAAGGCTGGGTGTGGTGACTCACGCCTGTAATCCCAGCACTTTGGGAGGCTGAGGCTGGCAGATCACAAGGTCAGGAGATCGAGACCATCCTGGCCAAAATGGTGAAATCCCGTCTCTACTAAAAATACAAAAAATTAGCCAGGCATGGTGGCACACGCCTGTAATCCCAGCTACCCTAGACGCTGAGGCAGGAGAATCGTTTAAACCCGGGAGGGAGAGGTTGCAGTGAGCCGAGATAGCGCCACTGCACTCCAGTCTGGGTGACAGAGAGTGACTCCATCTCAAAACAAAAACAAAAACAAACAAACAACAAAACTCCAAAAATACAAAAACTAGTGTTTCCTAGAACACATGCTGAGAAGTGTGTTCATCAGGAAACGAAGGAGCTCATCCCATAGCACTGAAAACATTACTGCTCATTTCTGAGAATCTTTGCTCCATCTTTAGACAAAGGGTAAAGTTACTCCACTCGAACCTGTGGGCTTATCTTTCTCCATGGCACATTCTAACAGCATGTTTGTGCCTGTCCTTCCTTCTCACAAAACACAATAAAGGTCCTTTTACTGAAAAGTACTCCGAATGGGTCTCTCAAAACACTTGTTTAACAGGAAAGCTTAGTTGGGCTAGGGGATTTCCTTTCTTTAAGAAAAAAGAAAGCAACTTTCTGTGCTACAATCCTCATTAAAGAAACGAGCGCGGTTCAGGCCGCTTAGGCAGTGCTTTGCTGGAACGGGTGCTGGTCCCTGGTGATACTCAGCCTGGTGGTACCTCGCCGGGTGACTCATATTCTGATGTCTTAAAGAACTGATCCTCTGCAGGAAATTATTCAGGATGTGAAATGTCAAGAAAGACAGATGATGATTAAAAAAAGAAAGAGAAGTCAGGGTTACACTGAACTTAATTGGGAAATTGTCCAAAGGAGAATATGGCAGGAAAGGAAAGAGGAGGAAAGAGGGATGAAGAGGGCAAAGAGAGGAAGGGAGGAAAGAGGGAGAGCAGACTGGCTGTGAGGGAGGCAGGGCAGACAGGAAATGGGAGGAAAGAGGTCTGGCATTTACTGAACATCATCTGTGTGCTTGGGAAGGGCACAGAGAGGTACTAGAATAAGAATTTTTGTAAAAAGTCACAGGCAAAGTCATTTGATATGGGTTTTGAGAAGCGAGAACCACCCACATTCCCTAGGAATATAAACCATCCTTGGAAAACACGACTAAGATTCAAAACTGAGAATTTTTTTTTTTTTTTGAGATGGAGTCTCGCTTTGTCACCCAGGATAGAGTGCAGTGGTGAGATCTCAGTTCACTGCAACCTCCACTTTCCAGGTTCAAGCGATTCTCCTACCTCAGCCTCCCGAGTAGCTGGGATTATAGGTGTGCGCCACCATGCTGGGCTAATTTTTGTATTTTTAGTAGAGATGGGGTTTCACTATGTTGGCCAGGCTAGTCTCGAACTCCTGACCTCAAGTGACCCAACCGCCTTGGCCTCCCAAAGTGCTGGGATTACAGGCATGAGTCACTGTTCCCGGCCAAGACTGAGCTCTTTTAATGCCCATATGACGAGGGTAGAAATCTACAAAACATATGACCTGCAAACTGAATGATCAGGAAAGGACTCTAACCACCAGAATGGGCAGGCAGAGTTGGTAAAAAACAGGGGATGAGAGTTTCCACCCACTACATGCTTCTCTGACATTTCTGCAGGCACCCAATCCCGGTCCCTTTGCTGTGTCCCAGACTACGTGTCTGATGGCGTGCCACCAAGCACCAAGAGCGAAGTTGACCCTTGACTCCATGGAGCCAATTCTCCTGCCACCCCATCAGATATCTACATTTGGTAGAGATTCCAAAATTGTGATAGGAGACTAAGCAGTGCAGTTGTGGGGGAAAGGAATGAGGAAGAAGCATATTTTATTCACTGTTTGGGCAATCAACTAGAACTTCCTTGTAACTTGTCCGGCTGCTTCAGCTTTAGCTAGTTCACCAATATCCAGTCTGGACCTGTTATGACAGAGGCCACCTTCCTGTTCAGGTGTGTGATAATTCCATTTTCTTTCTTTCTTTCTTTTTTTTTTTTTTTTTTGAGACGGAGTTTCACTCTTGTTGCCCAGGCTGGAGTGCAATGGTGCCATCTCGGCTCACTGCAACCTCCGCCTCCTGGGTTCTAGTGATTTTCCTGTAGTCCCAAGTAGCTGGGACTACAGGTACATGCCACCACACCTGGCTAATTTTTGTATTTTTAGTAGAGATGGGGTTTCACCATGTTGGTCTGGCTGGTCTCGAACTCCTAATCTCAGGTGATCCACCCACCTTAGCCTACCAAAGTGCTGGGATTGCAGGCGTGAGCCACTGTGCCCCGCGGGAATTCCATTTTAATTCTGGTCAAATATCATGATTTTAGTACCTTCTGCTTCAGGGTAGAAGGCACTTAAGTTCAATCCTCAACAGCTTGAAATTAAATCCAGAAACCCACTGTAAGAGGTAATGCATCTAAATGTTTACTATGGAGAGGTAGGGGACAAACGACATACAGGAGTATGGCCTCCCCAAATTTGGGTGAGATGGGGCTCCCAAGGGTACATGCACTCCCCACACTGAGAATCTCCCCACAGGGAGAACAGGAACAGGAAGAATCATTGCAGAAATGGGATTTCATGGCATGTCACATTTTCTACAGGTGAAAATTATTAGAAAAAAATAGCTCATCCAGGTAGCAGAACCCAAGAAAGAGAAACTAGAAGGGGGGGTTGGCATGGGGGAAAAACAGGCTTCTAGAAAACGTGCAAGGGCAGAATGGCAGGAACAGAGACCTCGGGAAGACCAGCTAAAATCTGAGGCTTCTCCGACTAAGGCTGTAGGGAGGCGTGTCTGGAGGGCTGAAACCGGAACGCTATGATAATAATTTCTGTGAATGTGATGCTAAGGTTGTTCAGTTAGAATTTTAGGGAACACCGTGGAAGAAATATTTTCAGCCTGATATCAAACCTGGGGTCCAGAGAGAAAAGTCTCAGCTTGCTCATGGAGAAGAGCTATAAGAGAAGCACACATCTGTTTGCCAGGTTGGGAGAACCAGTAGCAGATGAAATAGAAAAGCCACAAAGGAAAAGGCGTTATGGTAAAAGCAAGCCAAGTTCTACTGCCCTCAGTGATGTACTGTCTATGGCTACTTACGCACAACATTGGCAGAGACCACGTGGTCCACAAAGCCTAAAATGTTTACTTGCTGGCCCTTTACAGAAAAAGTTTGCTGGCCTTGGTCTAGACCCTGCCTCTGATGCTGACCTGACCCGGGGCAGACCATACATACATACACACACACACACACACACAAGGGTGGTTATTTATATAACTCACACCGCCAGTTTAACAATACCAATAGTAAACATCTAAAGATTGATTGATATGTATCCTTTAAAAATTTCTGGGTGCAGTAACATGCAGATTCTTGTACACATAACTCCGTTTTAAGAATATATACACTGGCTAGGCATCCTAGCTCTCATGCCTGTAATTCCAGGAGTTTGAGAGACTGAGGTGGGCGGATCTCTTGAGCTCAGGAGTTTGAGACCAGCCTGGGCAACATAGTGAAATACCATCTACACACACAAACACACACACAAATACAAAAATTAGCTGGACATAGTGGTGCATGCCTGTAGTCCAGCTACTCAGGAGGCTGAGGTAGGAGGATCGCTTGAGTCCAGGAGGTCGAGGCTGCAGTGAGCCAAGTTCATACCACTGGACTCCAGCTGGGGAGACACAGTGAGACCCTGTCTCAAAAAACAAACACACACACACACAAAACAAACAAACAAACAAACAAATATACACACTAACAAAGACCTTAATGTATTTTCTCTGCAGAACTTGTCAGATATGCTCTCCCAGCCCTTCATACTAAGCACAATGGGTACTTGTCCAAGCCCATCCACCATTCTGTCAGTTGCATCCTAAGAAGACATCAGAGAAGATTCCCTCCTAGACCACACAAAATGGACCGATCATCTTTGGCACGTGTGGCCACGACCCACATGAGGATTTATAAGCAACCTAGTCACCGGGACTTCATGTGGTTACCTTTTCTGAATGGCTCCTGGTTCTCCTCCGCTTCCCTGTTGACTCGGTTTTGTTCTGGTTCAACAGTAGACCCCTGGTCATCAAGTTCATCTTCTGTTTCATCATCACTATAGGGAACCACTTCGTCATTAGGCTGAGAATCCTCATCAAATGTCGTTTCTGAGTCTCTTTCTGTACTCATTCTGCCGGCAAATTGGAACTACCTGCTTAAAAGGAAAGAGAAATCAGAGTGGATTATGACTCTTGCCCAGTTTTTGGTTGAATCCTGCCTGTATCCCGTTACAATGCCCCTTTTACAGAACATTGTCTTACTGACATGTAAATATTCTGAAATAGTACCCCCAAATTCAACTTAACATGCAAATAAGAACAAAACCATTCAGTACTGATTAAATGCTTGGGTAAGATTTTTAAAAAATATGTAACTGCAAACCTTTTATTTTTAAACAAGGGTGTGTGTATATATATATATATATATATATATATATTAAGGCAATATTTAAAATTAGGGGGTCTCTACCCAATGAAATAAATTTAGTGGGTAACAATCAACATTAAACTAAAATGAAACAGACTATAAAATATCTGATTACAGCACATATAATAAGAATAAGTACTGCTTGATAACACAGTTGTACACATTCACACGTTTATTTGCATTGTGGGTGTTAATGGAGTTGAATTTCTTCCTGTGGATTGCTGGCAAAGTTGACAAACCACTGCTCTAAGATATCTGGTTTCTGCTAACACTAACATTCTGAGCCTTTGTTCTGACACAACATTTTTAATATAACCTTAGATCTTCCAAGTTTACTGACTTCCCAGGAACACTCCCTAGCTTTTCTATCTTCCCAACTACCGCTGCCCACTCTGTATCTGCAATTTGTGCTTGAGCATCTACCGCATAAGATGACTCCAAACAAGTGCGAAGAACAACCTTAGTTATATTTATTTTAGGAAAATATTTACACAAATAACTCAGGTTACAGACACACAGCCTGACATTTACATAAGCATCACGGTGCCGTGTAGTCAGTATTGTTAATGACAGCAGCTCACATTTATTTTGTGTTAACTGCATGCCAAGCCTTGTACTAAGCACTTTATAGACATGGGCTCATTGAAACTTCCCACACCACCATGGTGAATAACAGTCTTATTGTTATTCCTACCCAGCAGAGGAGAAAAATCAAAACACTGGAATGCTAAATAACTTGCACAATAATTATTAAAAATTTAAGGCAGCCACACGCTGTGGCTCACGCCTGTAATCCCAGCACTTCGGGAGGCCGAGGTGGGTAGATCACGAGGTCAGGAGATCGAGACCATCCTGGCTAACACAGTGAAACCCCATCTCTATGAAAAATACAAAAAATTAGCCGGGTGTGGCAGCGGTCGCCTGTAGTCCCAGCTGCTCGGGAGGCTGAGGCAGGAGAATGGCGTGAATCTGGGAGGCGGAGCTTGCAGTGAGCCGAGCTAGCACCACTGCACTCCAGCCTGGGCAACAGAGCAGGACTCCATCTCAAAAAAAAAAAAAGGCAAAAACAACTGCTTCACAAGGAGAGGTCTACGCTCTATTTTTGTATTATGGTTTATGATATATTTTGAACGAAAATTGCCTCAAGTAGAACTATGTAGCTGATTGTACGTTTTGCACCAAATCTTAGACCTCTAAAATAATTTTTACATTCACAAATGCACACTTACGAAATTTTCAAATATTTATATGAGGATTTTTGCCAAGTATTATGTAAAACAGTAAAAGCCAAAAGCAAGCTGGGTTACAATTGTCGACTATATAAATAAATTGTGGCATCTGATATTCTAGGATAATGTGCAACAATTTAGATGATCAGAAGAGTATTTGATGACATTGCATTAATGACCTTAATAGGTAAGTTATTAAGCCATATGTATAGCATACACCCAGTTATTCACACACACACTTGTTCATTTTCCAAAATCTCAACAATTGACATACATTATTTTATTATTATTATCTTTTGAGACAGAGTATTGCTCTGTCGCCCAGGCTAGAGTGCAGTGGTGCAATCTTGGCTCACTGCAACCTCTGCCTCCCAGGTTCAAGCAATTCTCCTGCCTCAGCCTCCTGAGTAGCTGGGATTACAGGTGTGTACCACCACACCTGGTTAATTTTTGTATTTTTAGTAGAGACAGGGTTTCACCGTGTTGGCCAGGCTGGGACATACATGATTTTAAGTGAGATGATGCATGCAAAATGCTCAACTCAGTGCATAGCCTACAATAAGTACTCAATAAACATTAACCATTAATTTTTCATATACTTCTTGGTGATTTGTATGTTTCCTTTTGAAAAATGTCTATTCATGTCCTTTGCTCACTTTTTAATGGTATTATTATTATTTTAAAATATTGTTGGCATTCATTACAAAGAATAATTTAGATTCTATTGCATGATGCTGTACAGTGGCACAGTTCTAAAGAGCCCTATAGTCACAGATGCAGAGTTCCTAGCACTCCCGGTCCTCAGCACCTCAGGCCATTCTCTTCCGCCTTCAAAGAATATTTACTCCCCAAATCCATAGTCTTTACCTCTGGCCTTAGCTTTTCAGTAGCAAGCACAAGCCTTCCTGGCAGTACTTATAATTTCATTGGTTATGCTTATGCTTTCCTGGTTATATGTGTACTTTCCTGGCGGTACTTACAATTTCATTGGTTATGCTTATGCTTTCCTGGTTATATTTATACTTTTCTGGCAGTACTTACAATTTCATTGGTTATACTTATGCTTTCCTGGTTATATTTATACTTTCCTGGCAGTACATATACTTTCATGGTTTATACTATTTTAAAATTATTTTTTATTAAATGGAGCTAAATTTTTAAAAAGTCATCTTTTCCACTAAATCGGCATCGCCATGTTAAATCTAAATTTCCCTGCTAAGTCTTTCTTTTCTTTTCTTTTCTTTTACTTTAAGTTCTAGGATACATGTGCAGAACGCGCAGGTTTGTTACATAGGTATACATGTGCCATGGTGGTTTGCTGCACCCATCAACTCGTCAGCTAGGTTTTAAGCCCTGCATGCATTAGGTATTTGTCCTAAAGTGCTCCCACTCCTTGCCCCACCCCCCTGCCCCCGACAAGCCCCAGTGGGTGATGTTCCCCTCCCTGTGTTCATGTGTTCTCATTGTTCAACTCCTGCTTATGAGTGAGAACATGCAGTGTTTGGTTTTCTGTTCCCGTGTTAGTTTGCTGAGAAAGATGGCTTCCAGCTTCATCCAGGTCCATGGAAAGACCACGATCTCATTCTTTTTTATGGCTGCAGGGATTATTTGTTTTTGAGTTGTTTGAGTTTCTTGTATATTCTGGATACTAGTCCTTAGTTGGATGAATAGTTTGCAAATATTTTCTCCCATTCAACAGGAAACATTGCACTCTGTTGATTGCTTCTCTTGCTGAGTAGAAGCTTTTTAGTTTAATATAGTCCTATTTGTCTATTTTTGTTGTTGCTGTTGCCTGTGCTTTTGAGGTCTTAGCCATAAAATCTTTGCCTAGACCAATGTCCTAAACATTTTCCCTATGTTTCCTTCTAGTATAAAGTTTTATTGGTTTTTTTTTTTTTAAGAGAGAGAGAGGTTTTCACTCTGTCACCCAGGCTACAGTATAGTAGGACGATCATAGCTCATTGCAACATTGGACTCCTGGGCTCAAGGAATCTTCCTACCTCTGCATCCCAAGTAGCTGGGACTACCAGCACATGCCATCATGCCATTTTTTTTTTTTTTTTTTGGTAGAGATGGGGTCTCACCGCATTGTCCAGACTGATCTTGAATTCCTGGGTCAAATGATCCTCCAGGCTTGGGCTCCCAAAGGGCTAGGATTATAGGTGTGAGCCACCACACCTGGTCCCCTTTAAGTCTTTAATCCATCTTGAGTTGACTTTTGTGTATGGTGAGAGACAGGGGCCCAGTTTCATTCTTTTGCATGTGGAGATTTATTTCTGGGTTCTCTAGTCTGTTCCATTGGTTTATGTGTCTGTTTTTTTGCCCATATTATGTTTTGGTTACTACAGCCTTGAGATATATACACACACACACACACACACACACACACACACAATGTGTGTATATATACATTGATATATATATCAATATATTGTTATATTGTTATATATTGATATATATATATAGTTATATATATATAACAATATGACTCTGAAAGTATCATATGGAAACATTTTTTATTGTTGCAAATTATACGTAACAAAATTTACCATTTTTGCCATTTTGTTTTGTTTTTCTCATTGCAGCCTCCTGGGCTCAAGCAATTCTGCCCCCCCAGCCTCCTGAGTAGTTGGGACTACAGGTACAAGCTGCAACATCCAGCTGATTTTTGTATTTTTAGAAGAGGCAGGGTTTTGCCATGTTGCCTAGGCTGGTCTCAAACTTCTGGGCTCAAGTAATCTACCTGCCTAAGCCTCCCAAAGTGCTGGGATTACGAGCATGAGCCACCATACCAAGCCTTGTTTCACCCTATGTTGTTTTTTTTTTTTTTTTTTTTTTTTTAAAGAGATACGCTCTCCCTATGTTCCTCAGGCTGGTCTCAAACTCTTGGCCCCAAGCGATCCTCCCATCTCAGCTTCCTTTTAGCCATTTTCAAGTGTAGGGTTCTGTGGCATTAAGTGCATTTTATACAAACATTTTGTAAGTTATCCTTTTCATCATTGCTTCCAAACTGCCAGGCATCTGGATATTAACACTGTCTCCAGCCCTGTGAGGTTGAGAGAGGAAGCAAGCACAAAGGAATGAATTTGACAACCCACATGTCCGTGACTCAAAGCAAGCAAGGCCTTGCACAACCAACTCGCCACCCACACAATCTGCACAGGCTCAGTGAGAAAGCAGGGGCAGGGAGCTCTACACTGAGAGTGAAGAAATGTCCTCAACTTGACTTCTCTACAGTGTGCATGTGTGTGAAACACACACACACGGGAGGAATTTGGCTGTGTCATTTTAGTGTACCAAAGAGAAAAACAGGGAGAAATCACTTGTTTGAAGCCCTAAATGACATAAAGAATTTTTTCCCAGGTCTAAATAATGATTCCTAAGGTCAGGGGCTGTGTCCGGTATGGATTTGGAAACTTGATAATGTCCCTCACTGTCACTCCAGGACACTGCAGACAGGTGTGCATCTACTCA